CTGCTACTACTGCTACTACTGCTACTACTGCTACTACTGCTACTACTGCTACTACTGCTACTACTAACCTAACCTAACCTAAACCTAAATAACCTAACCTAACCTAACCTAACCTAACCTAACCTAACCTAACCTAACCTAACCTAACCTAACCTAACCTAACCTAACCTAACCTAACCTAACCTAACCTAACCTAACCTAACCTAACCTAACCTAACCTAACCTAACCTAACCTAACCTAACCTAACCTAACCTAACCTAACCTAACCTAACCTAACCTAACCTTAACATCGCCGGAAACCCAACAGCGCGGCGAGAAAAAAAAAAAAAAAAAAAAAATATATCAGGTGGGATATGTGGGAGTTGAACCTCACTAAAAACTCCTGCCGCTCACAGCCGGCGCCCTACCCCGGACCGGGCCGGGGCCCAGTCGGGGGTATTGAGACGGCGGGACAGGGTTGACGCAGAGCACATTACATCCATCCCGCCGTCCCAAACGCAGACCCTTAGAAGGCACTTTTATCAATTGAAAAAAAATACTGACCGCCAATACACTGATCGGCTCCCACACAGGTGCCGTTCTCGTTCCTCAGAAACCCTGACTTGCAGAAGCAGCCCTCGACGCAGTCATCGGAACAGACCACCGGGCCTGAGGGGGAGCTGCAGTTGAATGGACACGCAGACCCGCACAGCAAATACTCTTCGTTTGGAGGACATTCGTCTAATAAAGATATAGAAGAAAAAAAAATTAAAGTCGTTTAAAATTAGCTTATCTACCTTTCTTTAAGCTTTGCAGGAACATTGGCACTTATGTGTACGTTTGGTATATACAGGGTGTCCCAGAAAGAGTGGATAATCCTGAAACACCTCATAGTAGAGCTATTGGGGACTCAAAATAAAAAAAAACAATAAAAAAAACTTCTTAGGCAGTACCCAAATTAAAAATAAACAAAAACACAACATTTCATGATTAAAATTTATTGTTACGTCGGTAAGGGTAACGCCATCTATCGCCGAATAGCCGAACGAATATCGAAGGATCTAGTAGCATCTAGAACGCTCGAGAAGTACAACGCCATCTATTGTCAGATAGCGGAAACACATAATACTCGACTTTTGTGGAATATTCTCGACGATTCTAGGGGTTTCGTCTCGACTGTAAAACCGTTGCAGAGATGGCACGCAGTCAGATAGTAATCGGAACTACTCGAAGCGAAACAGCGAACGGATCACCTGAAGCGAAGTGGAAGAAGCGAATTGAGAATTTTAAAGTGTTTGTGAAGTGTTTTAAGTGTTCTACGTACTACTAATACAGTTTTACTTCGGCAGATTTTTTTATTTATCCCGAACCCCAGCGCGTAACAATATATATATATAAGAAGATATTCACTACACTATACACTTTTCTTTTTCACGGAAAAGCAAGAATGGATCTTATCTCTTGTTTAAATCAACAACACAAAACAACGTAATGTCTGAATAATAAAGCGTGTAATTAACCGATAACTTAACACTTCAGTAATCGTTAGTTTTAATAGCAGCTATTTAAAATACGGAAGGCCGTTAAGCCCTTCGCGTTAAAAATTAGCGAGCCAGTTTCGGCGAGATTTTAAAGTCGTCGTGGCTTTATGGATAAGACGCCTGATGCATTCACATTGAGCGATGTGACTTTGCCGGTTACAAAAACCCAACAGAAGGTTCCAATTTTTATAATGATTTACGTGTTTAACCCACGGTCGCGAATTACTTCCACGTTGCAGGAGTAGCATGGTGTAATAAAAATCAAACCTGCAAAAATCTTGAGATATAAGTTCTAAGGTCTGAGAATAGTTGCAACGGCTGCCCCACCCTTCAAACCGAAACGCATTACTGCTTCACGGCAGAGAAAGGCAAGGTGGTGGTACCTACCCGTGCGAACTCACAAGAGGTCCTACCACCGGTAATTACTCAAATTATAATTTGGCGGGTTTGATTTTTACTACACGAAGTTATTCCTTGACCGTGGAAGTCAATCGCGAACATTTGTTAAGTACGTATTTCATTAGAAAAATTGGTACCTGGCTGCGGAATTCGAACACCGGTGCATCGCTAGATACGAATGCATCGGACGTCTTTTCCTTTAGGCCACGACTATTAAAAAAAAATTATTACTATTAAAAAAATTATTTCACCACACACATTTGCAACGCACGCAAAACTTGCAAAAAAATCAGTTGGCACTTCAGGACAACAAATAATAATGACAGATTCGCTTTATTCCCTCCGTTTAAAATCACTAAACGTGATTAATTGTGACGGCCATGAAAAATCCAGTAGGCTACGATTGCTATAACAGTTCGAATGTTTTATGAGTTTGTTTCAATTACAAGGTTTTGTATCGACTAGCGATAATTACGCTGCAAAATGAAGGTTTTGTGGGGAATCGCTTTCTTCTCCTCGTTTGCATCTAAGTCAATTGAGGCCACTGCATTGAGTAAGTCCTAATTGCTTACAGATTTTTCGCAAGATCTCTTGTCGCTTGGTCTGAAAACGAACGACCCAGAACCGGTTTTTAAGCTATTGCATAGCTTTTATTTTGGCGTTGAGCGAATCAAGAAATTTCGTAACGAAAATAAAACCTAACAACACATTCACACGCTTGTTGCATGCGCATCATGAAAAGTTTGTCCATTTCTCTCGCGCAGTCTAGCTTATGAGTGTTTATATTATTTTATTAATATTAAATTATTATTGTCTAATTATAATTGCATAAGTTGATAAAAAATGCTATGCGATAACTTTACCGCGGCAGTCCCAGAGTGCCACACGCGTTTTTTTTTAATTAGAAACTTTACTTTCCAACACGTTATGAGAGTCTTAATTAAAGAATCTTAATTTAATATTTTTGTTTAGACGGGTGGATAAGCTCACGACCCACTTGGTGCTAAGTGGTTACCGAAACCCATGGACATCAACAACATAAATACCGCCATGATGAATAGACATGAAATAGATATGAGTTCTAAGTCTTAGTTTTCATAACACGTCAGCTGCCCCACCCTCTAAATCAGAGCGTATTACGGCTTCACGACACAAATAAGCGCTATAGTGGTATTTACCCGTGCGGTCTTACAAGACGTCTTACCACCAGTTATTACGCAAATTTCAATTTTAACGAGCTTGATTTTTATTACACGATATTATTCCTACACCGTGGAAGTCAATCGTGAACATTTGTTGAGTACGTATTTCATTAGGAAAATTGGTACCCGCCTGCGGGATTCGAACACCGATGTATCACTCAACACGAATACCCCGGACGTCTTATCTTTTAGGCCCCGACGACATCAAACTATTCTAAACTCCTTTCCTATTTCCTCCTCAAAGCCCTTTTATAAAACAGAATCGAAACAGAATGGCTTGAAAAATCTTAATATCCTTTAATGATTTCATTAGTAAATAAATGCGGCACAAACGAAGTGTACAAGCCGTGTCAGTTCTATGAAGAGTACACGTGTTGGACCTCGTCAAGCAAAATGGAAAGAACTAGAACATTATCAAAGAAGTTCAAGCATTGCGTCGACGGGTGTTACTGCGAGTAATAATACATTTTGTTCACTCGGATGAGTCGTTGTTTTTTTTTTTTTTTTTTTTTCCTACCTAAGCTGAGAGCCTTGAGAGGCTATGTCAGCGTAACCCTAACTTTTGTAGGTGAGCTCACGGGGCTCAAACCTGATGACGTTGCTAACACGAACCCTAGCAAGAGCCGTGCTTCGCAGAATCTACCACCGGATCGGAAACGCGACACACTGAGAAGATCCGGCGAGAAACTCAGTGGGCTTGGGATGAGTCGTTGTTAGCTCAGAGGGTTATATACTGATAACAGTTGGTCCAGACTCAACAATTGTTAGCAGCCAGGTCCCTAGTCCTGAGTTTCTCGCCGGATTTTCTTAGTGGGTAACGTTTCCGATCCGGTGGTAGGTTCTGCACTGCTCTTGCGAGGGTCAGTGTTAGCAACTCGCTTGGTTACGCTGATAAAGCCTATCAAGGCTATTAGCTTAGGTAGAAAAAGCCATGTTCACCTATATCCACCGCTACAGCATTACCTTAACACATCCGAAGTAGCTTTTCCTTCCTAATTTTTTTAATTGCGTATTAACGAGCTCTTGACCTCTTTGGCGCAAAGTTGTTACCGGGCCCATAGATATAGGTATAGCCTTACATATTGTTACTAGATTGAATATTTTCATACAATACGACCATACGTAATGTAATTATGCAGTTTTCCAAAAGAATACATAATTCCAATACGTAATTTTATATTATTTTATTTTCTTTAAATTGGTGAACGAACACACCTGATTTTAAGTGATTACCGTAAACGTAAAAGACGCCACCTACCTCAGGACATGAGTCTCAGTTTTTAAAGTACAACGGCTGCCCCACCCTTCAAACCGAAACGCATTACTGCTTCACGGCAGAAACAGTCAGAGCGGTGGTACCTACTCATACGGACTCACAAGCAATACTACCACCAGTAGAGCTTCCTAACACCAGTAACTTCCTTGTAGTAACTTCCTTCCAGATTTTTTGCAGGTTGCTCCTGTACCTTGTTCAACAGTAATTTATCTTGAAACAAATTATTATTTTTGGTATTTTTCGTAAAGGTGATTTAAAAATTCAACAAAATGCCATAATAGTTTTAATGTATAATGTCGCCTACCTTTAATGTATCTACGACATCTTGCTGCTATAAACAATATGTTTCTAGTTAGTCTGTGCGTCCTTTGAGCATTTTGTTAATGCATTGCAGTAATGCGTTTCGGTTTGAAGGGTGGGGCAGCCGTTGTAACTATACTGAGACCTTAGAATTTATATCTCAAGGTGTGTGGCGCATTTACGTTGTAGATGTCTATGGGTTTCAGTAACCACTTAACACCAGGTGGGCTGTGAGCACGTTCACACATCTAGGCAATAAAAAAAAAACATGAAATTAAATTAAATTTTGTTTTCATTGTTTTCAGTAAGGGCCTAGTTCGTTCATACAGCAAAGGTCCTTGTATAGAAGCGGGGAAGTGTAGAGACAAAAAAATTGAAAAAATCCTTGACAATTTACCGATTTATAAGAAAAGAATTGAATAAATTCACTTCGGCCTGTATATACCAAGACTGTTTTTTGCTTTAAATATGATGTTTAATTTTTAGTAGTAAATATTAATAAACCTACCTTTTACAATATAAATGCCACGACTTAGGGCTACCACTCCCAAGAGAAGCAGCAGGAAATTTTCGTTGAACTGTAACATTATTTTCACACGAGCTACAAACGCGAGACTTGAAGCAGCACTGTCAACCGTCAGGGTTATTAGCTGACCTTTATTGACGTTCGAATAATCATGTTTTTGTTCGAATAAAAAAAAAAAGTGACATCCTTGAATCGTATTGAATTCAATAGAGCGTGGTTGCATTGAGATGGTAGTTGTTATGCAACGCGTTTTTATTATTTATTTTGCCCTTTGATTATGTTGATGTCGATTTTCCCTATTGGAAATCTGTATGAACTAGATTGTGCAATTCGATTTGTTTTTATTCGATAATTTCGCAGACTAAGAAAAAGGTTAAAGCCCAAGAACTGAAAAATGTTAACCTATCTTTCCAATCTAAGTCCTTGCAACGCCCATAGAAATAAGGTATACGAATTATTTCCATGCCTGCGTAGAAGAAGCGGCGCCGTGTCCTTGATCGATAGAAGAAGAAAACGACGAGTAAAAAGTCCTTCAACTGCACTATTTTGCTGAAGCAACTGGCGAAGCATGAGAGAGAGCGCCTTTCTCTCTCCAAAACAAATCATTTCCATCGAGACAAAAACTAGAATGGAAATCTTACCCGAATACTGGTTCCCTAAGTATTTTGGGCCCCTTCTCTATACGAGCTTAAGACCAAGTGAAGGAAACCCAAGAAGACTGTCTAATATAAACGTGCCCTGCAAAAGAGCTACCGGGTGACGAATGACCGCATTCCCAGACCTGCACTATTACTGTCCTAGGGTATCCTTAAAAACATTCTTAGGCCCGCGGTCTGCTCCCAGCATCTACTGACCGTCAAGTCATATACCACGTGCCTCCCAGGCGCGGACACCTCGTATGAGGTTCGCCCTTCTACCCGAAAAGGTATCCGGTAAAATGAGTTGGCGGCGCATTCTGGATAAGCTTCAGATAGCTCGTCGACTATTAGACTCTGTAGTCGAGGTACCAAGTGCTAGCAATATGACGTCCAGTGACTACAGCGTAGCGGAGAGATATACGTTTCACGCAGTTAGTCCCTCATTCCCCCAGTCACTACCTCGAGTGAGTTCACCTTAGGCTCAGATGCGGGTTACTAAATAAAATAAAAAGCCTTTTATTTCTAGTTTTAAATGGTAAAATTAGAAAGAAAGAACAGTGTGTATGCAGAGTTTTCAGTAATTCGATTTATACTTTAATATCGTTTTGCTAGCAAGAGCCCTCTCTTACGAAAGGTAAAGGCCTCCTCCAGAGGTGACCAGTATTCTCTATTCTGTGCCATTTGCGGCCATAGAATGCCTCCTATTTTTCTGTTGTCGTCTACCTAACATGCCCAGCGTGCAGATGTAGATTATTAGGCGAGAAAAAAGCTCAGTCGGTTCTACAACAACGGTTCCAACATGCCTGTTGCAGAGTAGGCTGTCATCACACGTATGCGGAAGTGCAATTATTTCCGCCTGAACAAAAAAAAGTCTCTGAATAGTTTTTTTTCTACCTGTTCTAATAACCTCGAGGGGTTATTCTAGATTCACCGAGCTAGTAGGTGAGCTCGCGGGACTCAAATCGGGAATGTTGCTAACACTGGCCCTAGCAAGAGCAGTGCTTCGCAGAATCTACCACCGGATTGGAAACGCGACCCGCTGAGAAGATCCGGCGAGAAACTGGGGCTGTTTCTATTGGTTAATTTACTTGTCGATCCAGCCCTTCGTCGCAAGCGACGGATTCAGCGAGGACGGTGACCGGTGCTTGAGGTACCTAAAAGCACTGTTAATGGATCGGGAGGATCCGTAATGACGTGTTTAGGGCTGAATAAAGTGGCCATGCGAAATTATAGTTGGGCCTCAGCCGGCTTCGATTTTTAAGTATACACTTTACATCAAGAAGGCCTTTAAAGAATTTACCTGTTTATGCAGCAAAATAATGAAATAAAAACTAACAAACTTACTTAACTATAAGCGTAATTCAAGCTAGCTGTCATTTTCCGTCAGGCCCAAAAATCCTTTTATCATATTATGCCCCGAAAAATTTTGCTCGAAGCATACACAACTGTACTCTTGAGTATTATAAAATGTGTGAGCTTAGGGTTGGCAATTAAGGATAAATTTATGAGATCAGGTCGCGAACTCTAAACTTTTTCAGGATTAGAAGAATTATTGTTTGGATTGTTTTATGGATTACGATGTCTGCCTATCATTGAATAGGACAGAGATTCTGCTATCGAAATATGAAATTGATTTTTTTTTATTCAAACTCAGGAGTTTCAGGAAACATAAATTATACTAAACATACGCCGCGTTTTCATGAAAGTTAAATTACTTAGATGTTTAAAATTCCCGGAAAAAAGATATGTACGAATATAATATGCCACTCTTTGTCAGTTTATTTGTAGTTCCATTGTTAATAATATTATCAACCAGCGAAAATTCAAACATATTTTTTTTTTTAAAACAATCACGCCACATTAACTGGTCCCGTGATAAGTTCGTAAAGAACTTGTGTTACAGGTACCAGATAACGGAAATAAATGTACGATTTTTTATTATACCCATACACATATTTAATATACATCCATAACCCTGGAAAAGACATTTATATTTATCATACAAATATCTTCCCTTGGCGGGATTCGGACCCGCGACCGCCTTCTGTAGTGACCATGTCACTAACCACTACACCAGACGGCCGTTAATTTTATTCGTTAAATTTATTCAGCAGATATATTCGGTGTTGCCAGGGCCATGGCTTTTACAACAGTATAGTATCATGCATGTTAAATAACTTATCTTGGTGAGTAATTTCAACCGCATAGTGAATTCGCTCAGTAGACAGATCCTGCGTGATAAAGTAACTAACATTAAAACATTCACATTTATAATATCAAGATTTCTACATTTATAATACAGAAGTTGCAAGCCCTGGGGAACTTACGAGCCCATACAATATGTATGGCATTACGTAGATTGGATGGTTCAACAAACAAACTGTCCTATCGATATTTTAACGATACACACAGTAGAGATAAAATAATGTAGTATAACAAAAACATAAGTTTTTTAATATGGTTGTAGGACCTCTTGTGAGTCCGCACGGGTAGGTACCGCCGCCCTGCCTATTTCTGCCGTGAAGCAGTAATGCGTTTCGGTTTGAAGGGTGGGGTAGCCGTTGTAACTATACTGAGACCTTAGAACTTATATCTCAAGGTGGGTGGCGCATTTAGATTCTAGTTGTCTATGGGCTCCAGTAACCACTTAACACCAGGTGGGCTGTAAGCTCGTCCACCCATCTAAGCAATAAAAAAATAATAAAAAAAAACCTGCCGGAACGATGAGACATGGACCGGTCGATATAAGACATAAAGTCGTAATCCTAATTGTATTTTAAAACCGCTGTTTCGCTCTCAAACAATCGACCGCTTCGAGGCAGATATAAGTAGGATACTGAAACCTACAGATGCGGCTCTGTAATAAGTCCTACCCAAATTAAAGCCACAAAATATTATTTAAGATAGGTGTTTAGGGCGATAACAACAGATAGCTCCGCTCGGTTCGACTACTCGGGCCGCAAGGTATTTGTACGACAATAGTCACTCGTATTTATAGTAGAAAGTGCGGGTAAGCTTAGTCATGAATTTTTAGGAACACCGTCTTAAGCGAATGGCTTAAGACGGTGTTCCTAAAAATTACACGCGTTGGACTTACAATAGTTAACCAACAACGTCAATGTTAAGAAAACAGCTAACTTTAACTAATCTTAGTTAACTAAGTAGTACTTAATGTTGCGCCGATATATACAACAAAAAGTACAATGGGTGGTCTCATCGCTAGGATACTAAATGATAATTTTATTTCAGAGCGGGTAACACCGAATGCAGTTGCATTTAATTTTGTCATGGCGGACGAATGTCAAGTAATTCTATTTTCTTGTTGACAGCGGTCACACGCGGTGGTCATTCACAAACCCATTGGCTCTAAATTACTAACTGTTATTGGAATATAAAAATGTTTAAGTAATTAAAGTTATTAAAAAAAATAATTAAGCGTCAGTAAAATTAAAATAGCGATAAGTCGATCTTAATTTTTTCTTAAGTTCAGCGCAAAGGATTCCTGTACTAAAGAGTTCATGTATCGACAACCATATTATGCGATAGCCCGGATTTTTTTATGTTTGAGAGATTACTGGTGGCCCTGAGGCCTTTCCAGTTTTACCAGGGCAGGTGGGCGAGAAAGGGCTCAGCCAGGAGGGGTGGGATTTGCTAACAGCTACCCAAGCGCCTCCAAAGGAGACCTAACAATTCAAGAGTAGCTGCTTCGCGAATGAATCTGCTACCAGATCGGAATCCTGACTCGCTGAGAAGATCCGGCGAGAAACTCAGCGGGCTGATGCATGGGTTAGATTGCACGTCGAACTCTTTGCCGAGTTCGACGAGTACGGTTACCGGGGTCCCTAGGCCTGCTCCTAGTGTTAGAGCTGAAGGTGTCTAAAGCAAAGGTTATTATTGGATCTGATGGATCCGTAAGGACGTGTCTAGGGCGTCGACGGTGACTGGCTCCTGCGTGAACAGGATTCGGGGAGTAGTCAGCGGCAGCAACGATAAGGCGATTATCATAACGCAGCCCGGCCTCTCGACACCCTAATGTGTGTAATACTATTGCAGATCTGCAATGAGAATATTTAGAGATTGCACGCCAACTCTGAGTTTACATTGAGAGTGGATATTATTAAATGAGGCCTAAAACAATCGAGCTTGGAGTATAATTAATTAAAACAATGTAGTAACAACTCATCGAACCTTAAAGAAATACAGAGTACTTAGAAGTTTAAGATCTACACAGCGTGAAATGAAACGCATATGCTCATTTTTTTATATTATCTGTGCATTTTTCAATCACTCCCGACTTTGGCGCCTCTTTTATTAATTTTCTATATTTTTTTAAATTATTATGAGATTTAAATTAATATATAACATCAGTTCCATAAACCGACTTATTATTTGTCCCGAGCGCGGACATTAGTTTTATATCTGG